TTTGTAAATAAATGCTACCTGAAAAGTAAGGAGATTGTACTCACATGGTATATCTCAGTGGTACCCATGAAAACCTAAGGTGCAAGATTGATGTAACAACTGTAAAAGCTTTATAGACTACAGGAAAAAAATATTATCCCTGGTATTTCTGAAAGCCATGGATTCAGTTTAATCTCTTGGTGGTTGCATGTTATAACAAGTTTTCCATAGAAAAGTACAGGCTCTAGTAATCAGCTGATTATTTTTAACTTCCTACCCCTGGATAGAAAATAAACCACTATTTTATTTATTGACATCTGTGACTCATACTTTGCATTGTTGCAGTACTGTCATTCTGAACCGACCCAGCATTTATTATCTACATGGATGCTGGTCAGTTTAATCAGCAATCATCTCATATAAAATTGTGAAAATATATCAAAAAGATTGATATTACCTTTAATTTGATTAATACTCCATATCTGTTGTCATGAGGAAGGTGAACACATGATATTCCATTAAATATGAGAATAGAACTCACTTGGTGCTGTGAATGCAGGTGGTAACAGCTTTGCCATGTAATCCTTAATGAATTGTTACGATGCTAGTCTCACTTAATTGTCCTAGTGACATTTGTTAAAGCTATATAAGGATATATTCCTCATCCAAGATAGAAATCAAGCATTCGAAAGTTTGACCTTAACAAGATGCTAAAGTTTGGAAAATGGCCAAACTAGTAGAGGCAGTCTAATAATGAATTAACAATGGTAAAGCTGGTGTCATTTAAATATTTTCTTAGTATGTCTCAGAGCAGTTCAATATGCAAGATTTCTCTCTCACTTAAAGTTCCTACCAATAGAAAGTGTAAAGAAATACGAGATGCTGCACTGGGTTCTCCTTCCAGCTTTTTCTGTCTCCAACACATGCTTGGTCTGATCCATGTTTCTGTCTGGCTTAAGGTGCCAGGTAGATGGTCTAGCAAATAAAACTGCATGCCGTACTGACTTGCTTATATCTACAGGAGTTAGGAGAAGGAGAGTAAGTCAAAACATCCCTATGTACTTGTCTCTCACAGTGCCCTGAAGGGTTTTTTATTGTTGGGGTTTTTTTTTTTTTGGTTGGTTGGTTTGTTTATTTTGTTTTTTTCATTACTGTGTTTTACTCATTGCTGTGGACTTCAGTTCTCATTGATTTGAAATCCACTTGAAATCTCACTGATTTGAAGAAAACCTTGTCCTGTCAAACAAGAAAATAGTCAACTTATTTTTCTGGTGACTGGAGCCAGAAGCTGCTGAACATCCAAAGGATATTCAGAAGAATTGTAACTTACCATATACAGAATTCACCCATAAAACTTAGCTACTCTGTGCGTGTAACTTTCTTAGCCATCAAAAAATGCATATATATGCACACGCGCATATGTGTGTATGTATAGTTCTGTGTGGTGTACGCACTGTTTGCTGAAATGGGGTTCTTATTTCTAACAGCAATTTCTGGATGTTACCACTTAGCGTATAAAGACTTGATTTTATACTTTTGACTCAGCAGATACTTCTACTGACCTCAACTGTGCTTCTTACAATTACGCAGTTAGAATTTATACTAACAATGCTTGGAAGAGCACCATAGATAGAATCTTTTTTTAAAAACGTTGACTCACATCATTTGGAAACTTAATGGTCAAATTGTACGTTGCTTTGCACTTCCAAGGGAGTTTTTCCTTTCTCCCCAACCTTGCCATCAACAAATTAGAGAATGATTTATGCCAGTAACTGAGCCTGTGCGACTGCATTTCTGGCTTTACAGAAAATCTACTCAATGAGATCAGCACAAAACCCCAACATTTGTTTGTAACAATCTTACTACAAGATTGTATCATTCTTGTGTATTTTCTTAAGCATATGTATGTTACAATGTTGCAATTGCGAAGTTGGTAAGATTAAATATATCACTCTGGAAAATGCACATAAGTAATAATTCACACGTCTCCCATTTTCTGCCATTCACGTTCTCTTCCTTTCTCTGCCCCCTTGCAAAAAGAGAAAAAAGAAATTGTAAAAATCCCGAACCGTAAGATGGCAGATTCACAACATTCACAAATATTTCCTGAGTCAAGGGAAAAACTGCCAACAAAATGACTTCATGATTCATAAAGTTTTAATTTTTATGCTTGGACTGGAGATTTGGTGATCCTACTGTGTTAAAGCATATGCCGCTTGGTGAGTCACTGACGTTTGGTTTTTAGCAAAGCATGAAAACACTCGGTTCAGTTGTACCTTTTTTAAAGTGTGAAATCTGATCCCCCTTTGGGTATTATATTAGCATGTTATTCTTAAGATGAAGTTTAATAACTTTTTAAGAATATTCCAAATGTTAAATTTGTTCTGAAAGTGATGTCTTACTGTCAGTGCCCCAAAACATATTTTGTGGGAAAAAAAACCCAAACAATTTTTAAAATAATATTTAGTGTATTACGCCATCATCTTTCTAAATCTGCTGAAAAATTGATATTATGATAACATACAGAGATGTAAGTAATGCCTTATTTCCTTTCTGTTCCTGTGTAAAGAGGAAGTTGCACCTAGTGTTCTATATGATAAGAAATAGATTTGTATGTTTAATTTCCCTTTATACATTTAAGGTCATCTC